TATTACAAAAATTACAAAACTTCACAGAAAAAATTTATTAAAAAACAATATTTATTAAAAAATTATTGCAATCAAATTTTTCTAATTTTTAAAAAATTTCAAAATTTTACAAAAATTTCTATTTTTTTTTTTTTTTTTTAATTTTTAGTTAATTAAAAAAAGAATATTTATTAGAAAGGAATCTTTTTTAAAAAATTTTTCCTATAAAATTTTATATTTTTTCAAAAATTTTACAAAAAAATATTTTTTTTTTTTTTTTTTTTTTTTTGAAAATTCCAGAGTTTTGCTGATAATTAATGCAAAAGTCTTAAACTATAGATTAAAAACTTAACAAAAATCTTTTCTTTTTACTTTAGATCTTATAAAGCAACATTATCTAAATTTTTTGAAATAAACAATTTTTAAAAAAGATACAATTTCTCATAAATCTTTAAACAATTTAAGAATATTAAAAGAATTTCCTGAACTAAACCCTTTTTAATATAAATTAAAAGCGATAAAACACTTCAACACCCCATACACAACTAATACAATTTAAATATTCATAATAAGCACAATTTTGACCTCAAAACAACAAAAATTTATAATAAATAATTTTTTTCACTTTGTTAAAAAGCAAAGTCTACTACTGCATCCCTAGTAGCACATGTATGTATAGTGGTTGTATTTTATAAAAAAAAATTCTTTATTAAAATAAATTGATAAGAGTAAATAAATTGAAGTAAAAACACAAACAAATACTTAAATAATAAAATATGAATCAGTATTTAAATTTTCACCAACCTTTTATTTAAATAGAAAACAAAATATTATGGCAAATAAAATCCAGCAAAATAATCCAATAAATTTTGAAATTTTTCTTAAATTCGAAACCGTTTTTTAAATAAACTTAAGAAGAGTATTTAAAAAGTTTGCGAAATTTTTCAACACAAAAACACTTTTAACTTTAATTTTTCATAAAAATTTTCTTAAAATTTTTTCAATAAATTTTCATATATTTTTTAATAAAAAATATTTTTCTAAATTTTTAGTTAAATAAACACTTTTTTTATATTTTTCAATATTTCATTTAAAAACGTTTATTTTTCTTATTTTTTTATAAAAAATATTATTTAATTATTCCAAAAACTAACGGGGGTGTTGTTAATACGTTTTCTTTATTAATAAATTCATTAAAAACCCGCTTTGTAATTTTTGTTTTAAACCGTTTGATTTTTTCAATATTTTCTCAAAACTCAAAACATTTAAAATTCCTCTGGACTTATAACCGAGCTATGTGAACACACGTACACGAACGTTGCAGAAATTGTACTGAAACTTTGTCGTTTGGAATCTTGCGTTTATAAATGAATGCTAAAAATTCGTTTCAAATTAAGTTCGTTGCTTATTTGAGATACATGAACGAACGTAAACACAACCTTGTTCCAACATAATACAACATGTTGTGTGCTAACATCACACAACCAAATAACAGTGCTAATGTCTGCTAATCTACAGGGTGTTGCTTATAATAATAAAATGTGTAAACTCTTTATGTTAGCTTAACATTTAGTTATAATGTTATGAAAGTCTCTGTTAATTTTAAAATCAATAAAAATGTTATTCATTAGGTGTTAAAAATGTGTGTTAATAGATTGTTGTCGTATGTAAATAAACGACGACTAGAATGTTAAGAATAATGTATTCATCTATTCTGTTATTTAAAGTAGAATATGTGTGAAGACGAAAAAGAAAGAAAGAAAAGTGCTAATTTTGTGGCACGTTCTATTTGTTAGGTCAGGGTGGACCAACATTGTGTGATTTTATTTAGGGTTTTTTTTAGAACGAACCATATGGCAGCATATGTCTTGAAGCAGGCATGGAAAAATCCGTACCTTAGTACTTTTTGATATTGGAAAATACCTCGGTACCCCCAGGACATTTGCGATACTTTTTATATCTTATTAACATTTGATGTGTAGTCTAGTCTAGTCTAGAGAATAGTCTAGTCTATAATCTAGTCTAAAGTCTAGTCTATAGTGTAGTCTATAGTGTAGTCTATAGTGTAGTCTATAGTGTAGTCTATAGTGTAGTCTATAGTGTAGTCTATAGTCTAGTCTGTAGTATAGCCTATAGTGTTATTAGTTAGTTAGTTAGTTAGTTAGTTAGTTAGTTAGTTAGTTAAGTTAGTTAGTTAGTTAGTTAGTTAGTTAGTTAGTTAGTTAGTTAGTTAGTTAAGTAGTTAGTTAGTAGTTAGTAGTTAGTTAGTTTTTAGTTAGTTAGTTAGTTAGTAGTTAGTAGTTAGTTAGTTAGTTAGTTAGTAGTAGTTAGTTAGTTAGTTCGTTAGTAGTTAGTTAGTTAGTAGTTAGTTAGTTAGTTAGTTAGTTAGTTAGTTAGTTAGTTAGTTAGTTAGTTGTTAGTTCGTTAGTTAGTTAGTTAGTTAGTTAGTTAGTTAGTTAGTTAGTTAGTTAGTTAGTTAGTGTAGTTTAGTTAGTTAGTTAGTTATTAGTTAGTTAGTTAGTTAGTTAGTTAGTTAGTTAGTTAGTTAGTTAGTTAGTAGTTAGTTAGTTAGTTAGTTAGTTAGTTAGTTAGTTAGTTAGTTAGTTAGTTAGTTAGTTAGTTAGTTAGTTAGTTAGTTAGTTAGTTAGTTAGTTAGTTAGTTAGTAGTTAGTTAGTTAGTTAGTTAGTTAGTTAGTTAGTTAGTTAGTTAGTTAGTTAGTTAGTTAGTTAGTTAGTTAGTAGTTAGTTAGTTAGTTAGTTAGTTAGTTAGTAGTTAGTTAGTTAGTTAGTTAGTTAGTTAGTTAGTTAGTTAGTTAGTTAGTTAGTTAGTTAGTTAGTTAGTTAGTTAGTTAGTTAGTTAGTTAGTTAGTTAGTTAGTTAGTTAGTTAGTTAGTTAGTAGTTAGTTAGTTAGTTAGTTAGTTAGTTAGTTAGTTAGTTAGTTAGTTAGTTAGTTAGTTAGTTAGTTAGTAGTTAGTTAGTTAGTTAGTTAGTTAGTTAGTTAGTTAGTTAGTTAGTTAGTTAGTTAGTTAGTTAGTTAGTTAGTTAGTTAGTTAGTTAGTTAGTTAGTTAGTTAGTTAGTTAGTTAGTTAGTTAGTTAGTTAGTTAGTTAGTTAGTTAGTTAGTAGTTAGTTAGTTAGTTAGTTAGTTAGTTAGTTAGTTAGTTAGTTAGTTAGTTAGTTAGTTAGTTAGTTAGTTAGTTAGTTAGTTAGTTAGTTAGTTAGTTAGTTAGTTAGTTAGTTAGTTAGTTAGTTAGTTAGTTAGTAGTTAGTTAGTTAGTTAGTTAGTTAGTTAGTTAGTTAGTAGTAGTTAGTTAGTTAGTTAGTTAGTTAGTTAGTTAGTTAGTTAGTTAGTTAGTTAGTTAGTTAGTTAGTTAGTTAGTTAGTTAGTTAGTTAGTTAGTTAGTTAGTTAGTTAGTTAGTTAGTTAGTAGTTAGTTAGTTAGTTAGTTAGTTAGTTAGTTAGTTAGTTAGTTAGTTAGTTAGTTAGTAGTTAGTTAGTTAGTTAGTTAGTTAGTTAGTTAGTTAGTTAGTTAGTTAGTTAGTTAGTTAGTAGTTAGTTAGTTAGTTAGTTAGTTAGTTAGTTAGTTAGTTAGTTAGTTAGTTAGTTAGTTAGTTAGTTAGTTAGTTAGTTAGTTAGTAGTTAGTTAGTTAGTTAGTTAGTTAGTTAGTTAGTTAGTTAGTTAGTTAGTTAGTTAGTTAGTTAGTTAGTTAGTTAGTTAGTTAGTTAGTTAGTTAGTTAGTTAGTTAGTTAGTTAGTTAGTTAGTTAGTTAGTTAGTTAGTTAGTTAGTAGTTAGTTAGTTAGTTAGTTAGTTAGTTAGTTAGTTAGTTAGTTAGTTAGTTAGTTAGTTAGTAGTTAGTTAGTTAGTTAGTTAGTTAGTTAGTTAGTTAGTTAGTTAGTTAGTTAGTTAGTTAGTTAGTTAGTTAGTTAGTTAGTTAGTTAGTTAGTTAGTTAGTTAGTTAGTTAGTTAGTTAGTTAGTTAGTTAGTTAGTTAGTTAGTTAGTTAGTTAGTTAGTTAGTTAGTTAGTTAGTTAGTTAGTTAGTTAGTTAGTTAGTTAGTTAGTTAGTTAGTTAGTTAGTAGTTAGTTAGTTAGTAGTTAGTTAGTTAGTTAGTAGTTAGTTAGTTAGTTAGTTAGTTAGTAGTTAGTTAGTTAGTTAGTTAGTTAGTTAGTTAGTAGTTAGTTAGTTAGTTAGTTAGTTAGTTAGTTAGTTAGTTAGTTAGTTAGTTAGTTAGTAGTTAGTTAGTTAGTTAGTTAGTTAGTAGTTAGTTAGTTAGTTAGTTAGTTAGTTAGTAGTTAGTTAGTTAGTAGTAGTTAGTTAGTTAGTTAGTTAGTTGCATAGTTAATCTTTGCCCTTAAACCCAACTTTTGATTGAATCGATAGTGATATTTGAGTGATCCTACATTATGAAACAGAGAGTTAGTTACAGAATTGAATCTCGAGCCTTAACAATCAATATCTATTCCCTATTTCAACTAAATATTAATTGTTCCCATTTAAATATTCCTTCAGTTATAACAACAACAAACTAAACTAAATTTAACTGCATCAATAAATACCCACTAGGCATTATATTTCATGTCTCCATGCAATCAATATTTTTTCTAATTTATTTATTTCAATTCTATGCACAACAAATTGTTTTATGTCAAACATCTATTGTTAAGACCAAACAAAACAAGACTTAAAAAAACAAAAAACAACTCCAATTTGAAATTGTACACTGTTGAATTTTTAATAATATTTATTTATTTTTTCATTATTTAAGCATTAAACACACACACACACACTTTAACTTAAACTTACAATTTGATTTATGCAATCAAGCCATTAAAACTATTTTAATATTCAGTGTAAATTTGCTAAACATTTTTGAAGAAAAATCAAAAGAACAAAAACAATAAAAACAAATGAATTTGAAAAATGAAACGTGAAACAAGTCAAAATAATTTACAATATTTTATTAATTTATTTATTGTTCTTAACGAGTTTTAATCTGGTTTTAATCCATAGACATCCATCTCGTTCGGTTGTATGTTTGTTGTTGTTTTCTTGGTAAGGTGGAGGTGGTGTTTGTTGGTGTTTAAAACTCTCAGTAACTAAATACTGGCAATTTGCTGTCGCCGTTATAGACCAGACCACACCACACCTTTTATGGTTGTCTAAAATCGAAAAGAACATGATCAAAATTGTAAATTGATTCTTTTGTACATGAAATCATTTTATATTTTTTTTTTACTTTTTTTTGTTCCTTTTATTAATTTTTTGACAAGTTCTTGTTAAAGTTTATTTTTACCATAAAAAATTATAAAATTTGTTGGTATTAAAAGTGAGTTTATAAATTACTTATAGTTCAATGTATTTAAAGGGCAGTTTATGTTTCAAATTTGAATTTATGTCTTTTTTTTAGATATTACGCATGCATAACAAAGAAATATTCTACAAACATATATAGTTACACTATAAGTACGTTTTTATTTTAATTTTTTATAAAAATGTTGTGTGGAATCATAATTTATTTTTTTATTAGATGTTTATCCAAGATCAATCACACTTGGAATTATTTCGTTATCTAGATTTTATTATTAAGATTTACATAAAATTTTTAACAAGTGTAGGGGTTTTTTTGTAGAAGTTTCTTTGAAGTTATTTAATTAAAACACAGTGAATTTAATCTAACACGAGTATTATAATTTTAATTTTATGGCTAAGAACTGCTTAGGTTCGATAACACTTGCCGATTGTATTGTGCGTGGCAGCTTATATTGCATCCTTAAATATTGATCAATGATTGAACATTAAACTGAGCCAAATTTGACTTTTGAAGTGTAGAGGAAACGTTTTCATAGTTATTCTTTGACTATTGAGGAGGCCGATGAGATTTCCTAAAAGCATACTTACCGTTCCATTATATGATTATATTAGACGTGGTTGAAGAAATTGTAGAAAGGAATAAGGAAAATTATTGCAACAACTTTTTGTGTTCGACCCACCGTAACATAATGTAGGATCCGTCAAAGAATACTATCGATTCAAATAAAAATTAGGCTTAAGGGCAAAGGTTAACTATGTACCTAACTAAACTAACTAACTAACTAACTAACTAACTAACTAACTAACTAACTAACTAACTAACTAAACTAACTAAAACTAACTAACTAACTAACTAACTAACTAACTAACTAAGAACTAACTAACTAACTAAACTAACTAACTAACTAACTAACTAACGAACGAACTAACTAACTAACTAACTAACTAACTAAACTAACTAAAGAACTAACTAACTAACTAACTAACTAACTAACTACTAACTAACTAACTAACTAACTAAAACTAACTACTAACTAACTAACTAACTAACTAACTAAACTAACTAACTAACTAAACTAACTAAACTAACTAACTAACTAACTAACTAACTAACTAACTAACTAACTAACTAACTACTAACTAACTAACTAACTAACTACTAACTAACTAACTAACTAACTAACTAACTAACAACTAACTAACTAACTAACTAACTAACTAACTAACTAACTAACTAACTAACTAACTAACTAAACTAACTAACTAACTAACGAACTAACTAACTAACTAACTAACTAACTAACTAACTAACTAACTAACTAACTAACTAACTAACTACTAACTAACTAACTACTAACTAACTAACTAACTAACTGATTAAGAAAGTTTCCTATTTAGGGGCAATCTTTAAATGAAACATTAAATTAAAATTAATTCTCGAAAATTGTTTTTGAGTTTTGCAAGTTTAAGCGCCTAATAGAGATGGTTTTAACTTGAGCAAGAAAAGTTTAAACATCTAATGCAAAAGAGTTAATAATATTTTAATGAAATTGTCTTCTTTTTTATAAAACATGCATTATTTTGATAGCAAACTGTGACGTTTTCTGTTATTCTCTATGGCAACACTGCAAAGTTTAAATTTGTACACAAAAACATTAAAATGGATTAGCATTAGATTAAATTTATTTTTAGATTAACCAATCTGATTATTAATTGGCAATTAATTGTCAACTCTAAAACCTGCTCTTAGAGAATTACGTTAGGTTTCCAAAAGCCAAAAAAAGTCGATCCATATGTTTGCAAAACATAACCAAATTTCACTAAAACAAAAATACATGCTCCCCATTTCATAACAACCTGTTGTGGGTGTTTACAGAGATTTACAAATCAAATAAATCCCCATTAAATTATCCCACAATGTTTATGATCCCGCTAATTTGCACTTGAGCACAATACATACAGACAACTGTAACGGTGTGTGTTTAAATAAATTAGAGATTAAGATTAACTATATAATCAGAGAGTAGTAGAGCACTTAAAATAACTAAGATACCAAACAACAACAACAACAATACACAACTTACTTAAATTTCAATCATTCCTTAATAAACACCCAATTTTTATTATACCAAATACTATGTATGTATATAAGTACTTACCGAGGTTAGCATGGGGGTAGTTGGATGTTGATGATGTTGTTGTTGTTGTTGGTGGGTGGGCGAATTAATGTAGAGCTGAAACAAGATTAAATGGTCAAAATAGCAAGTATACACTTACAATATATATCCTCTCGAAGTTGTGATTAATTCTAAACGTTGTTAATATACCAACCAAGCAAACAGGCACCCATCCATCTATTCATCCATCCATGCTGTCTCTTCCATCAAACCACATGTGAAATTATTTCGTTTTTACTTTGCTTTGCTGCTCTCCAAATAACTATTTAAGCAAATACCCACAGATGAGCTTATATTGCTGTTGTTCTTGTAGTTGTTGCTTCGGTTTTTGCGTTCTTTGTTCTTCGAAAGTGTGGTACCAAGAGTCAGTCAGTATGTGAGCCTTTAGGTTTGACTTTTAGTGAGTCTGACTAACTGTCTCGCCTTGTATTGCATACGCACAATTCTGTTTAGAAAAAGTGTTGCCAAACACCAACATCAGCAGCATCCATTTCTTTTACGGTTTTTCAATTTATTTACTTGACTTTCTCTCCTCTTCTTATTTTACCTCTTATTCTTCATCTATTTCTTTTATGCCACCCCCCCCCCCCCCCCCCCTCTCGCCCTTGCGTGTAATGTCTGTTGTTCTCCCACACCCTAAAAAGTAATGGTCACATTGGAAATTCAATGAGAAGCAACAGGGTTTTTCTGTCTGTCAGCTAACTAACGTACAAACACAACAACATACATTCAAATACAATTACTAAGTCACTCACTCACTTGCTTACACACTCCCAAACATACACTCACGTTCACTCACACACACACACACATACAGTCTCAGTTAGTCCTGTATTCAATATGCAGACAATATGGCTGAGTGTTAAAAATAAATACAATTGTATCATCATCATCCTAAAACAACAACAACTACAAGTCATATACATACATCTAAGCACTCACACTCCTCAAACACACACCCAAACACTCACGTACTTACACATACTATATATTGGAGAATACAATATCCTTAACATTGTTGTTATATTGGGTTCGTTGGTTGGTAGGCCCCTTGCAAAGAATACTTTAGAACTGGGGATGCGTAATGAGTATTTCTATGGGTACTAACGAAATTGTACTTTTTTCGGCATCACTTTAATAAAATGTGTAAAGTTATGTGTAATAATGTTTAGGAATTTAAGAAAATTCTTTTATAGATTATCTTTGATACCTCTGCCTCGCCCGAGTGAAAAGAGGCCACCACTACTTATTAGACCTGTTGTACGCTTATTTCCAAAATCTCTGGTGGAAATCGACCACCGTACTGTCATATTTCAACCTCCCGGGGGCATGTTACCTTGATGAAATCTCCATCTTGGTGTTATGCAATATTCGGGGGAAAAGAGGTGCTAACAATACCTCTAGTCTGCCTGGACTATAAACTGGTGATGATCAAATGTATCCTCGGCTTTTCCTTGGAATGATTTGACATGGGGTCGAACCAGAGCACTAGATCTTTCTTTATGGTCTAAGAATGGAACTGATGTAAGTTGGAGAACGATCGGGAAAGTCTTCTCTGCCCGACAGGAGACTAGTACTGATTTAGTAGACCTTTTACTTCAGGGAAGTTCTCGGTGATGTTGTTTCATGCTACGCGACTTATGATTGAGGCCCACCACTCAACTTGTAATTATTGGGTTCGAATTGACTTTGCAAATTCATACATCCTTGGTCACATTATCTGACATACAGAGGGATCCTGATTTATTGGCTGGGTATTTCGGACTACTGTTGCTGAATTAACAGAGCCTTATCAGTAGTGTCGTTGAGCAAGCTTTAAAAGTTTAAGAAATACACTGGAATGGGTCGTTAGTTGATGGGGATTGCATTTTTAATAATGCAATCTTTTATGACTTCTAATGGGTGGACACCTTCCGGCGTAAGATACCGTAAGATTCTATTGACTTTAGACCAGTGATTGATTTTTTTTTCTTGTTGGGCTGTATATTGGGATTGGTCCCATGTTGCCTGTCATTCCGCAACGGGGCTACTATGGCAAGAGATGGGAAAGTGCTTGTACATGGACCGGGACAGCCATGTAATCCTTCTTCATAGAAGAATTCATCGGCGAGTGGTAAACCGTTCTCAAGTCTACCCAGTGGGTAAAACAGATCAGAGTGAAATAAGGTCGTCTAAGCAGGTGTTCACGTAAAGCACTTAGACATTCTTGTCATACTTCAACGCTACTAACTATGGTAGTATGTGGTATGTAACCTTAAAGTTTACCTCGTCCAAGATGTTTCTATTTGATTCACAAAGGACTTTGCAATAAAGAAATGTCTATTAAGAAAATTACTGTCAGTTTAAGAAAAGTTATCGGTTGTTAAACTTCATGAGAGATAAAAGAATCATTTTACAATCGATATACTGAGCAACTCATCAGGATTACTTCTGTGTTAGTTTTCTTGCCCGGGGACTGCTAAATGACAATCTTTGTCAAGTGTCTTGGGTATGACGAAGTTACTTTTTGATAAAACTAAAAGCGACTAATGTGACTCGATTCGGAGCAATTTCTTATAAAAATCATTTGGGTTATTGCAAGCTTACTAAATGTTAGGAAGCAGCAACAGTGATTCAGACAATTTCTCTAAAGTTTAATAAAGTTTCGTGGCACTTCAAAATAAGTGGAATAACTAAAATATTCCTTATCATATGACACATCGTTGAAAGGCATGTTGCAAACTTTTCATGTGTAAATAAAGTTAATTACTTTGAGAATTTGTTTTTTCTTTTTTTTGGAGTAGAGTGGAGTGGTCATGTTAAATATGACATAACTTTGGATCAGGACATTTGTTTTGGCAATAAATAAGGTGTGGCCTTTAACTGTTTTTATTTCTTTGAGGGATAACTAAATGTTAAGTTTCTTAGTAAATTTTGTCAAAGTTTTGGAAGTAAAAGTTCCCAGTCAGTACTTTCGATAACTTATCATTAGCCAAATTGATTAAAGCCGATTACAGGACACTCAAATAATAGGCGTTTCCGATCGATTACACAGAAATTAAAGGGAACTGTAAGACATTGGACCCGGATAGGAGATTGCGGTAAGAGAGCTTGATGAAGTTATCCAGACAAATTCAAAACCTTAAGAACCAAGCAGGGCGAGATAATACCATTTGACCACTTAGAATAATAGAACAGTTGGTAGGACCACTAAAATCATATGGCATCACCCTAACTAGTCCTATAAGAGAAGGCTTCACAGATTAAACAAGTCCGAACACTTTCTCAATCATTACTAGCCTTTCGTCGTAATTAGATTCAAATATCTAAGGAACTATATCCAGGAAACTGAGTAATGTTCAATCATTACTCTATAATTCCTTTCATAAATCGCTATATAAGGTCTTTCCACCGAACATTTTTCATGGAAAGGATGAGCTCAATAATCCCGATAGCGGTCTAAGTGTATTTTTTCGGATCTGTAATATACTTCATCAGTTCAACCAAACAACTTTGAAACATATACAAATATATTAACTAGGGATTTTGTACATCGGGGCTATACTAAAGAAGGCATTAAAACGGCTTTTTATCTTAGTCTATGAATAACTTGAATCTCAGCTAATCTCCATTCACAACAGAATCATATTTTTTTCTAAAATTTTCTAAAAGTTCGTTTAAAATTTCGGAATAATAAAAGCTTTCTCTCCTATCAGTTGGAATATCTGATAAATTGGCTTAGTTTAGATATTTGAGTCAGACCAGATTAGTAAATAGGTTTGTTACGAGTTTGGGGGCTTTTGTTTATTTTTCGTAAGTGACTTAGAACTTCTCACAACAGTGGTTTATCGATAGCGATAACAATAAAAACGAAACCGGATTTCAGAGTACTTAAAGCTTCCTTTCAAATGGAACATTAGATATTTGAGATGTGATTGGATCATTCATTCTCGTTTGAACCGAAATATCTGAGTTTGAGGCCTTTGTTTTTTTTCCCGGTTGTAACTTTATACTTCTGACAAGTTTTAAGAAACAGTGGTTTACCATTATCGATAGCAATGAGAACTCGAAACCTGTTATCAGCCCAGAAATATAATTGTAATTGTTAAAACAAAACATTTCCGAAACCCTTAAATAACATCGGCCAATAAAATTGGAAAAAAGAAGAGGCAAATCCTATACCTTCCGAAAGATTTGAGGTGCGCTGAAGCTCAGAAGAATTGCTTCATCACATCAGATGTTCGAGATGTCATATCGTAAAGATTGAAAATAACCTGTTATTGGCAATATTCCAGACGTTATAACTGTACGAAATCAGCTTAATTTCTAAAGTCTAAAAGTCCAAACTATCGTCTTTCTGTTACATCCCCTTCTTGTTGATATTTTAACCAAAAGTTTAAAACAACTGAGGCCGGAATCGTAAATCCTTTAGAGAGGTTTACTTTGGTCTCTGGGTTAAAAATTTAATTTATTTTTATCTTTGTTATAAAAACTGGACAGTTGTGAAACGAATCCTCAGTATTCCTATGATTTTTTTTTTTACAAAATTGTACCAAAACAAAAAGTCACCTAAAACTGGTACCATCATGTTTATCTCTGAGACTTCTGAAAGAAGACAAAAAAGGCCATAATGGTACGGAATGAACGAATAAAGTAGAAAGGATGAATAAATAATAAATTGTCATTAGTTAGTTTAACATGCTACAAGGATACGTGGTAGATTTGAATATGATGCTTATTGTTGATGTTATTGATGTTGATTTTAATTCAATACTTGTGTCGAGTAAATGAACATGAGATGCTGAGCAGTAGGTAGTGGCAGTGGTGGTGAGAGTGATGATGATGAATAACAATGATACAAACTCACACTCTTTCTCACACACACACATAAACAGTAGCAGTCATACTGTCACTCTGACAGTCAGTTAGTTCAATTTTAGTCCTTGATATACATATTCAATTAATAAAGAAAAGTGGATAAAATAAATAAATAAGTATGAATGTATGTTTGAATTTGTGAAGGAACAAACATATAATTGACAGTCGGGAGTCGGAAAGAGGAAATGAGATTGAACATGAAAATGAGCTGGTAAACGGAAGAAGCATCCCCTTCTTCTTTAACTCTCTGCTTGCCTTAGTACACATGTGGTGTTTCGTTCGTTGTCAATTGATTGGTTTAATTGAATGGAATCCATACAATTCCAATTACAATTGTTAGGAAAAAAACAAGTGAATTTAAAGTATGAGTGTGAAAAGAGGGAAGGGGGTGCTTTAAAGTGAAAATAAAAACACTTTACAATCGTTTTTTTTTTTTTTGGTTTTTTGTTTTTTTTTTTTTATTTTATTTTGAGAATTTAATTAGAATTTATTTTAGAATTAAATTTAATTAGTTAGTTAAATTTTAAATGTTTACATGTATGTTTTTTTGGGATTTTTTGTTTTTTTTTGTTTTTTATTCATTTATTTATTTTTATTAAATTGTGATATAATTTATTTAAGAATTCGATCGAATTTTGGTTTTTTTGTATTTTTTTGTTTTTATTATTTTTTTGTTTTTTGTTTTAATTTATAATTATAAGTATATTTTTTATAAGAGTCTAAAGTAAGAAAAAAATGGTGACGTAGACGCAAAAAATATCTGTGTAATTATAACACTGACAAGTGCTGCTGCTGCTGCGGCTTCTTCTCCTTCCTCTGTCTCTTCTTCTCGTTCTTCTTTCGAAAAAATAAAATAAAAATTCATCATGTTCTTCTGTATCTTCTTCAACATCTTTCTCTTCCACTCTAAAAAATAAAAAGTTTTTTTTGCACGGTTTTTATATATTTTTTGTTTTTGGTTTTGTTTTTTTTTTTTGTTCAATAAAAAAAGTTTATTTTTTTCCTCGTTCGCTTTTAATGCTGCTGTTCTCTTCTTTTCTATTATAATTCATCTTCTTGTTTTCTTCTGATTCATCTTCCTTTAGCTCTTCTTTCACTTCTTCTTTTTTTTTGCACACACACACATATAAATAATCCTGTTGTAAGTAGTTTTTTGTTGTTGTTGTTTGTTATAGTTTATATAGTGGTAGACATACTGTCGTCGTGGCTTTCGTCGTCCTCGTCGTCATTGTTGTTGTTTGGTTGTTGTCGTAGCAGTCGTCGTAGTTGTTGTTGTTACCATCATCGTCGTCGTCGTCGTCTAATTTTTGGATACAAAATCAAAAGTCGTTGCTCCACTAGCTTTGCCCGAAGCACTACGATGGAAATGGACATTCTGCCATTTATTATCGCGTTTATGCCAGACACGTGTCTCCTCCGACTGATGGGTGTGGGCATGACCCTGTTTATCGATATATTGAGTTAAGCGTACATAAGCAATACAAGCGGCATCCTCGCCCAATAGATGGACGTGTGGATTTAAAATGGTAGTATTGATGGCTTTGCAATTCTTGCCCAAGACATTTTCAAAATAGAATTTGTGAAAGTCAATTCCTTCGACCAGATTGCCGAGGGCCTCCGGCTCGAAAGCAGTCAAATGCGGATCACCGATCTTGGTGTAGGCATCAAAATCACCACTGTTGATGGCCTCAATCAGTTGTTCCGTGATTTTAATAATCTCCTGGCGCCTGGCCTTGACATCGTCGTCTTCCAACGTGGTGTTGGATGAGTCGGTCGAGTCCTTAACGGGCGAGCCCTCGCCCTTCTTGGTGACCATGCTCTTGCTGGAGAAGTTGCGTGTGGCCAGCATGGTGGTCAAAATGGCGCCCTTCAGCTTGCGACGGGCGTTGAACTTCTTGAGGCAATCAACAGTTTCTTGGCGGTGTACCACGGAGGCTACACGCTCGCGCTGGCATATCCAGGGGTGTTTGAGGGCCTCGGCCGCTGTGATGCGCTTGTGGGGATTGACGGTAAGCATTTGATTGATGAGATTTTTGGCTTCTGGTGTTACCGTATCCCATTCGGGCGATGGGTAATCGTAAGCTCCAGCCTTGATCTGGGAATACAGACGGTGCTGGTCCTCATCCCAAAACGGTGGATAACCAACGAGCAAAATGTATAAGATAACACCACAAGCCCAAATGTCCACTGGCTTGCCGTAGGGTTCCTTCTTGAGCACCTCCGGTGAGAGGTAGCCAGGAGTGCCGGCAAAACCGAACCAGGCCTGATGATCACCTTGCACCTCAATGGCCAGACCAAAGTCGGCCAGTTTTACGGCGGCACCCTTGGCCTTGCTAGCTAATAGTAAATTTTCCGGCTTCAGATCACGATGGACCACACCATTCGAGTGGCAGTGATTTACCGATTCCAATATCTGCTGAATACAATGCGATGCATCCGCCTCCGAATAGAATTCCCTTGCAACAATGTCCTCAAACAATTCGCCCCCGGTCACCAGATCGAACACCAAATAGTGATAGTTCTCCTCCTGTATACTGTCGTGCAGTCGCACAATATTTGGATGATGCAGCTTACGGCAGATTCTCGCCTCACGCTCTAACTTTTGAAAATCTCGTGCTGTTAACTTTTTGGTATTGATAATCTTTGCGGCAAACTCATTGCCTGTGGATTTTTGAACGCAACGTTTTACAATCGAAAAAGCGCCTCGGCCCAGCTCTTCTTTAATCTCATAATTGTCCGAGAAACGCGTACAGGCTGCGGGTGCAGCCATCGCGATGGCACACTTGAGAAAATCTATTGCGGCAACAAAATAAAGGACCCCACGTCAATCACAACAGTTGGTGTCGTGTCGTGTCGGTCGCTCGATTTCTGTGTGTTTAACTTCTTACAGAAATAATCAAGAAAAAAAAAGAGGGGAAAAGAAAAGAAAACCTTCTTCTTCTTCTTCTAAGTGACTCCTTTTTTTTTTTGGGATACTTGGCTGTTTATGGTTTAGTAGGGAGCAAGTAGTAGAGTGTGTTTTATTTTATTAATCGTGGAAAAGTTGTCTCCTCGTAAATGTTTGAAGTCTCAATCGTTTTTCGTAGCTCCTTTAGCCGTTTTTGTTGTAAGTTGTTGTTGGTGCTACTTTTGTTGTTGTTGTTGTGTGTTTGTATGTGGTTTTTGGTGTTCTTTTTCTTGTTCTTTATAATGTTGTTGTTGCTGCTGCTGGTATTGTTGGTGTTGTAGCAGTAGTTGTTGTTGTTGTTGTAGTATGTTGTAGATGCAACTCTATATTTTGGAATAAAAAAAAAAGAACGCAGAAGAAGAAAGCAGTCGATTAAATTGATTTTTAACTTGATTTTTTTTTTCTAATTTCTAACTATAGTTTTTTTTTAAACTTTCGTTACGATTTTTTTTTCGTTACAAAAAAATTTTTAGGTGTAGAGCAAGCAGAAGTTTTTTTTTCTATTTAATATTAATTACTATAACAATAAAAACAAGGGGCAAGAGTTATTATTAAAGCACTCGGTTAGTAGTTGGGTTCTTTTTTTAGGTTTTTTTTCCTTTCTTTCTTTTCTTCCTTCTGTTTTTTTTCGTTTTTTGGTTAATATATGTATGTATAAATGTATATAAATATTGTATATGTATGTATATTGTATATACTCTACTTGTATGTATAGCAGATATTTTTCATACGTTTTTTTTTTTTTTTTTTTTTTTTTTTGTTGTAACAATGTATATATGTATTTCTATATTTATTATATATCTATCTATATAGATTTCTTTTTATATTATAATTTATTTATATTTTATTATTATTTTTATTAAATTATTAAGTTTAGTTGAGATGAGTTAAGTAGAATACATTTTTATCAATTTATTGCGAACTATATATTTATTTCTATTTATTCAGTGTATTTCTGTTCTTATTCGCTTGTGTCTTAAACTCCAACTGACCCAGATTCGGGGCAGAGTGTTGAAAATCAAAAAAAAAAAAAAAAAAAAAAAGAACTTGTGAACAACGGAAGTGTATGTATATGTAAATTCTAATCAGTCCTTGTCCTGTAATGATTTTTGTTATAGTTTTTTTTCTCTTCTTTTGGGAATTTTTTTTTTTTTCAACATTTCATTTCAACTTTTTTCTTTTTCTTTTATTAAAAATTCACTTAATTTTTAACACATTTCAATTTTTTTCTTTTCTTTTCAAGTAAATCAAAAGAAAAGTTATTATTAAATTTATTAAAAAAATCTTCTAAATTCGTTGCCTTACTAGTTCTTTTAATAAGTTTTATCTTACCCGTTCAACAGTTTGTATTTTTTGTTAGTAATTTTTCACTTTTTTTCCATATATTTCGGTTTAGTTGTTAACGAAGCACTTAACCAGCAGAGAAAAAAAGTTTGTATCTACATTTTCAACGTTGATGCGTTTTCTATATATTTTATTTCTCGCATCCAACACTCTTAGGGAAAAAAGAAGAACAAGCACGGTTATTTTCTATTCAATTCTTACTTGTCTCCCCTCATTGGGAATATTTGTAACTGTTTGTTTAGTACGCAGAATCAAATCTACCGAAAAATTGTTCTAAAACCTACCACCACAGTACAAAACACTCACTATTCTACGGCCTGCCACCACTAAAGTAAAAGCGTATAAGGTTATTTGGAAAATGGTCTGACAATGTGTCGCAATTATGTTGCCAATTAGCTTATAAGACTTTTCTTTCTAGTTGGTAACACTAAAAGAGCATTTAGCACAATAACTAATTTCTAACGGTAAATAAGGGTAGTTGGTTCTCTCTCAATCATATTTCCAAGCTCTCTTGCTGTTTAAAAGTGTTGAGTTTTTTTTATAAATACAACCCTGTTTAAAAAGGGAAATTTTATTTCCAACAGGATATTAGCCAGAAAGTTGCCATAGTTTTAAATTCATTTTTAATATTGCCACATTTAGGGTTTTCCTCGAAACACCCACTTTAAGTCAAGGTTATTTTAATTCAGATCTTGTCGTTTGTGTAAATATAGTGTCGCAAATAAATATCAAATTATTTCTTACAAAATATTACAATTTAATTAATGTTGATTAATTTATTATTAAAAAAATCAACGCAAAAGCAACAAGCAGACTGCAAAATATAAGACAAGCTTATTGAACACTGCACAAAAAGCAAATAAAAACACTAAGAATAAAAAGCTTTTAAGTTCAATATTTGATGCATAGTAAAATCTTGAATTTTTTAATGATATACTAGACGATATTTTTGGTAAATATTGAAATTAAGAAGAAATTTAGAAAAATTTCGAAATTTAATTTTATAGACAATTTTTTAGACTAGAGTATAAACTGGAGTATAGACTTGACTATAGACTAGACTATACTATAAACTAGACTGTAACCAGACTATAGACTAGACTATATACTGAACTTGACTACATACTAGACTAGACTATATACTAGACTGTACATACTAGACTAGACTATATACTAGACTACAGACTAGACTATAGACTAGACTATAGACTAGACTTTAGACTAAACTATAGACTAAACTATAGACTAAACTAAAGAATATACTATAGAGTAGACTATAGACTAGACTATAGAGTAGACTATAGACTAGACTATAGAGTATACTATAGACTAGACTATAGAGTAGACTATAGACTAGACTATAGAGTAGACTATAGAGTAGACTTTAGACTAGACTTTAGACTAGATTATATACTAGACTATAGAGTAGACTATAGAGTAGACTATAGAGTAGAATATAGAGTAGACTATAGAGTAGACTATAGAGTAGACTATAGACTAGACTATAGACTAGATTATAGACTAGACTATAGACTAGACTATAGACTAGACTATAGACTAGACTACAGACTAGACTATAGACTAGACTATAGACTAGACTATAGACTAAACTATAGACTAAACTATAGACTAGACTATATACTAGACTAGACTAGACTATATACTAGACTGTACACTAGACTATAGACTAGATCATATACTAGACTAGACTATATACTAGACTATAGACTAGACTAGACTATATACTAGACTATAGACTAGACTAGACTACAGACAAGACTAAAGACTAGACTACAGACTAGACTATAGACTAGACTATAGAGTAGACTATAGACTGGACTATAGACTAGACTATAGACTAGACTATAGACTAGACTATATACTAGACTATAGACTAGACTATAGACTAGACTATAGACTAGACTATAGACTAGACTATAGACTAGACTATAGACTAGACTATAGACTAGACTATAGACTAGACTATAGACTAGACTATAGACTAGACTATAGACTAGACTATAGACTAGACTATAGAACTAGACTAGACTATAGACTAGACTATAGACTAGACTATAGACTAGACTAGACTAGACTATAGACTAAACTATAGACTAGACTATAGACTAGACTATAGACTAGACTATAGACTAGACTACAGACTAGACTATAGACTAGACTATAGACTAGACTATAGACTAGACTATAGACTAGACTATAGACTACACTATAGACTAGACTATAGACTAGACTATAGACTAGACTATAGACTAGACTATAGACTAGACTATAGACTAGACTATAGACTAGACTATAGACTAGACTACAGACTAGACTATAGACTAGACTATAGACTAGACTATAGACTAGACTATAGACTAGACCATAGACTAGACTATAGACTAGACTATAGACTAGACTATAGACTAGACTATAGACTAGACTATAGAATAGACTATAGACTAGACTATAGACTAGACTATAGACTATACTATAGACTATTTGAATTTCTTTTCGAAATTTTGTTCATTTTGAATTAAACGCCAGTGTATATTTAAGACAAGTGTTAAGATATAATCACAGCTGCATGTGTAGACAGTCCAATATATCTCTAGTTAGATTTTTTTTTTGTCAATATTTTTTTCGTAATTGTTTTTCTTTTCATGGTTGTTGGAGTTGTCAAGTTATGTTGTGTTGCATGCATGTATGCATGCAGCAAGCAACATTTGGCATACCAAAATGTCAACATAAAATCATAAATTATATAAACATTTCGAAAAATCTAAAAAAAAAAATTGCAGAAATTTTAAGAATATTTTTTTATATTCAATCTAAAGTTTGTGGTGTTGGTTTTTTTTTCTTTTTGCTACAACAAGGTGTCATAAATCAATTTTATTTTGAGAGACAAATAGAAAAAAGCAAATAAATATTTTAAATATTTTTGTTTGTTAATAAATGATCAAAGATAATGAAAATTAGCTAAAACTATACAAAGTTATTTATAAAAACTAAATGACTTTATGTATTTTTACAAATAAACAAATAATTAGTTTTGAGTTTAGTTAGAGTTAAATTGAAAATTTTATTAATTATTTATTTTTTAGTTTAATGACTTTGATAAGAAATGTACAATGACCTGTTTCATTTTAGTTTAAAGATAAGTTTAAGAAAAGTCAATGAATATTGATTAAACAGAAGTGTTAATGAACTAGAAATAAACTAAACGAAATAGCAAAAGTTATCAATTTGACAACTAATGAAGAAAGACTAAAGGAACTTAATAACTAACTAACTAACTAACTAACTAACTAACTAACTAACTAACTAACTAACTAACTAACTAACTAACTAACTAACTAACTAACTAACTAACTAACTAACTAACTAACTAACTAACTAACTAACTAACTACTAACTAACTACTAACTAACTAACTAACTAACTAACTAACTAACTAACTAACTAACTAACTAACTAACTAACTACTAACTAACTAACTAACTACTACTAACTAACTAACTGACTAACTAACTAACTAACTACTACTAACTAACTAACTAACTAACTAACTACGACTACTAACTAACTAACTAACTAACTACCTAACTAACTAACTAACTAACTAACTAAGTACTAACTACTAACTAACTAACTAACTAACTAACTACTAACTAACTAACTAACTAACTACTACTAACTAACTAACTAACTAACTAACTAACTAACTAACTAACTAACTAACTAACTAACTAACTACTAACTAACTATTATATTGATATATTGATTAAAACAAAGTGGTTAATGAACTAGGAATAAACTAAACAAAATAGCAAAAGTTATCAATTTGACAACTAATGAATGAAAGACTAAAGGAACTAACTAACTTAATAACTAACTAACTACTAACTAACTAACTACTAACTACTAACTAACTAACTAACTAACTAACTAACTAACTAACTAACTAACTAACTAACTA